AGTAAATTTTCCAAAGTATTTGACAAATAATTTAAAATATCTTTGATTAAGATTATAAACAAAAACAATATTTTTCTAGTAAATAAAATGTCTTAAAATTGTACTTCAATCATCAATTTTACCGTATTGTTAGTGAATTTTATAAAAAATAGCGTAATTATTTTCTTTTAAATTTGGGGTAGATTCGCGCACAAGCATAAGGGCATCTTTTGTATATGTATATATTATTCTGTTACTTAATTTAAAAAAATATTTTAGTTAAACGTTTAAATTTTTATCTCAACATTGATTTAAATACTAATTTAAAGAAATTTATTTTATTAAGTTTACTTTATGCAGAAATTTATAACAATTGTTTAATTACCTACTGACAAGATAATTGTTTTCATTTAAATTTAATTGTCAATAAGTATTTAGAATAACATTTTTATGTTTATATCTGAAGCTATCTCATGCGTACACAGGTGCCCTGTTACATGTACGAAGCTACTCCGCCTGAGGGGTAGATTCATACGATTTTCAAGTAAAAATTATCTGCGTTCAGTTATATATTAATTTATTATTTTAATTGCATGTTTTTATTGTAGCTGGATATTTATACTATTTATTGGTACAAACTTAAGTAGTGTAAATACATTTAACACAGTTTGGGAAGCAAAACTTTCAAAAGCGTACGAAGGATCCCCATCTCTCCCTATATTATACATATAATAGCATATTGATCAGACATATAAAATAGATACATTAAAAAATATCTACAAAAATATATAATAGAAGAAATAAACTAAGTTCTTATGAAGTTAAAAGAGATTAAAAATTTTTTGTTCACTTTTATATAATTTAATAATATAACTAGCTATTATCTTTCCTAAAAATTTTATATTTTATCCGTTTTCTTAAATTATGTCACAGATAGAATCACCCTATGAGAAAAAAGAAAGGAAGATGATTTTTTCTCGCAAAATTCATAAAACAAGCAATTCTACTTATATTACGATTATAAATACATCTAAGTATGTTATAAAAGTAAATATTTTTTGCCAGTACTAAATCTACTGCTCCAAAATGTTATTCGATTTTGTCATTCTCAGCACTCATAAGCCAGTCGCGATTCTCTTTGCTCAATTTCTTCCAATAATCTGCAGAAATAAATGTTTATGTTACATGTATTAAATAATTATATGTAAGTTTAAACAGTTATTTCATATACACTTGAGAAGCACTTTAAATTCTTAACTAATTATTATGTAAACGATTGAGTCTTAACTGCGAGAGAAGTTTGTTTTTACTTAGGCCCGGTAAATACTTGCTTGATAAGAAATATCTCTTACTAATCATTAAAAACGTCGGATTTGTTCCTAAATTCTAATTGACCGTAATTACCTACTAATTCCTGAATTGTATCGTCAGTGCCACCATATTCAATTGGCAAGATATTAGCTGGAACATCCTTAAAACAGCTCCGCAACATGTGCCGGTAGACATGAAATCTGTTCTTCATCTCCTCTATCATGAAAGATTTCATAAGTTTGATAACAGTATTGACGAATATCGACGCGTTGATAACATTTATCGATTGTATTTTTATAGGATAGCAGCTCTGAAAGGAGTGTATAACATTCATCAAGATATGGGGTTGACATAAAGCTAGGTGACGTACTGTTGGTTTGACCACGTCAATGAACACTGTGCAACCATACACAGATGCTACGACGTTGTCCCTCAGTATTAGTTCTGCCAACATCGCACCTATCTGAGGAAATAATCGTCCGTTGAGAAACAATGGGAAATATTTTGTCATGATATGAGTCAGAAATACATCGTTACTTGCGATTTCAATTTTTACCTTAATCAAGTCAGATAGTTTGTGTATAGTCGGGTCAAGTTGAGTAGGACGTACGATGACAACCAATCTTCTTCGACTATCCGGTTTTCGCAGAAGCAAAATTAATCTAAACAAAATATTTATATTATATTTTAGAATAAAAAATCAACCTTAGTTTACAGCGATGCATATAACTGTGTATAAACATTTTTAAAATTTGAATAAAATATTTTTCTAAAATATAAAACAGAAATAATATAGGATAACAAAAATTTAAATAATTTGTCATTAAAATAAAAGTTGCAATTTATATAGGTTTTTTATTATGTATTCAGTCTTTATAAATAAAAAATTTAGAGAAGCACACTTTTGATCCTCATTTTGATGAAATTGTAATTATTAATAAAATTTATACTTATTATAATAAATATAAATTAATGTAAAAGAATTGAACTTGGTCGATAAAATGCTATTAATTGCAATGTTAAACGTATTTTTAATACAATCGTTCCTTTATAGTTCCGTATAAAAAAAAAATTAGCGGTAAAATTATTACGGTGCAGAAACTTATAAAACTTTACGCTAAATTATTGGATAATCTAAGATGCGATGCTTCTTGGATAATAATAGTAGAGTAAAAGAAAGATTTTTTAAAATTATGCATTATATTTATATACTCCAAAATAGTGATTTTTACCCCCTATCAAGAATCTCTTGCAATTCCGGTCGAAAGGGATCTTTATTCATGTACCAGTCTGGTAAATCGGATCGATGCTTATAATAGTTTCGCATCCTGGTCTTAGTATTCTTGAGGTTAAACTTGCAGACTCTCAAGAATCGCAAGATAAGAAAATCATCTATATACAAATTAAGAATTACCTTTAAATAAAAAGCAGTGCTAAATATAATGTTATTAGATATATTACAAATTAAATTATAATTTTATAAATGTGTAGAATAGAATGATATAGAGTAGTATAATTTTAATAAATGTCTAATATCTAAATATACACTTTATTGCGTTTTCAATTAAAAGAAGAAATAAATCAAGTCAATCGAAAAACTATTCAGAACAAAATGGCAAAATGCAACGATCACAAATTTTTTTATATAAATTTTTATCGAATTTTTATTTTCTTTGTTTATTTTTTAGCGAGACTTTCAAATTACTATTGTTTTCAATAAAGAAGTCAGACACTTTGTTACATTACTTTTCAATTTTTTTTGTTTATTGTGCGATTAAGAATGAGTCCAACGAAGTAAGCATCAACTTAACATCACGATTAAAAACAATTAAGTTTTAAAAACACGATTAAAAAACAATTAACTATGATTTTTGCGGAAATAGTAAACCGTAATAAAATTTCATTAATTGATATTTCAGTGCACATGGGACCGCTGTCATTTTTACCGATTCGTATGCGCAATTCATCTTCGATCCAGCATCTAATTTCCGCGACAGCGTTCTTCCTTATTTCATCGGTTTCGTTTAAATGTGTCGCCGCGTATTCCTTATCCTCGCTGGTCAGCTCTTGCCAAACATGATGTATTACACTGTCGCTGTAATTGTTTTCGTTCGCCATCGTGATGATGGTGAACAAGAAGCTTCGTTCACTACGGAAGGATTATTCGTATCGCGGAAATATGATATACAGCTGTCACCGTGATGTTTATACATAATACTGCAGGTAAGACGCAGTGTTCAAATAAATTCATCGTGCTCTTTGGAATCATTGAATATTTAATCAGAAATCGTGCCAGCTGCAGCAATGTACGATAGTCTGATGATCTTGATGAAACTTACTACGTATTCATTCTCGATAGTTATGAAGAAGCATAAACTTTTAAATTCTTTAAGGTAGCACAAATAGCCTTTTAAATAAATTACGTATAATCTAAAATTATATTATATTGAAACATTATAATTATATCATTGCTCACAAAATAAATAAGTTAAAATGTTTAACGTTTATATTTAAAGAGATATAATGTTTTACGTATAACATTTTCTAAATTCTAACAGAATAAATAAAATTTCTCTCTTTTATATTCACATAATTTGAGAATACTGAAAATTTTCATTAAAAACTTTCGTACTATTTTTCTGCATTAAATTCTTGGCATGGATCTTTTGTGTAACGAAAGATTAAGAGAAATTATACATTTTTTCGGAATTCGGTTTAGACCGAGAGGAAGTGCAACCTTCAATAAAATAAAATTACGTGTGCTAAATAAAATAACCATTTCCTGGTATTGTTCATTTCTGAAAAAACCTTCTGATGGCAGCCTCCATAAATTTGCACTTGACGAGAAAAATTACGCGCAATGCTTTAACGTAAAACGTATAAAAAGATAGATCTGTTTCGCAACAATTAGCGTTTTGTCTACATATATTCATAACTAAAATCATATTATATAACATTATATGCAGTGACTTTGCTATCGTGACGATAATAAACATAAACAAGAACTTGCGTCTGTAAATTATGAAGACGCAGTTTGACCCGTGATCCGTATATAATTAATAATAAATCGGATTGACAGTATAATTTTCACAATCTGATTCTTATTATCATTTTCACGACAAATCAGCATCAATAATTGTATCATTTGCAGCAAATAATGGCGAATTCAAAAATCTCCAGTTCAAAAATCTCTCGGCAAATTTATTAATAATATTTATTATTTTTGCTCTCTAGAAAATGTGCCAATTAAGACAAAGCTTAATCACTATATTTTTTATAATATGTATTTTTGACATTTTTAATAAAATTAGAAAATAAATGCAAAATACAATTTATCATACTGATATAGTTATGTCTATTATTATTTACAATTTATATTTTTAATTTTTGTATTTTCAAGTTTATCTTTGTAAACCTTCACAACACACATTAATACAATAGTTTTTTATAAGCGTATTTCACTTATTTTTGTACTTCCAAAAAATTTACCGGGGGGAAAAACATTTATTTATATTTTATTTATTAAAATTTTTTATTTAAAATATAACATTTTGTTAACAAAATCCAAAAAAATTTATGTCATTTCATTTTAAACTAAAAAAAATGGCAGTTATTTAAAAAAGTATTTTTTCCAAAGTTGCTTTTATAAAACGCAGTTTTAAACAAAATAGCATTTTTTCAAAATTTTAATATCAATTGATCATCAGAAAATTTTACATTCAAAAACACATGTTTTACTTTAATTGCGCTGTATATTTTCAAAAAATATAAACATTAAAAACGTTTGGTGTGAATTTGCATCCAGGTGTTCTTTATGGATGCTCAAAAGAGAGGTGCCATTTATGAGTTAATAATAAAAACTAAGTATTGTCTTTTCTATATAAAAATTTTATATTTTATCCTTTCACTCATATTATACCACCGATAAAATCACCATATAATAATTTTTTTCCACTAAATTCTTAAAACAAAGTCCGACTTACATTACTATTATAAATACAAACATGTCTCTTCTTCGAGCATTAATATCTTTTGCCAATTTTAAATCCACTGCTTCAATATCTTATTCAATCTTACCATTCTCATCACTCATAATCCAATCGCGATTCTCTTCAATCAATTTCTTCCAATAATCTGTAAAAATAAATGTTTATATGTGTTGAACTAAATGATTATATTACGAGTCTAAACAAGTATACTCTATGTACATTTCAGAATCTGGTGCATGAATTCTTAACTTTTATTAATTATTGCTTAAATGATTGTTTGTCTTAATTAATTATGACAAGTTTTTTTTTCGCATATAAATGCTTGATAAAAATGATCTTTTATTATCCACTAAAATCGTCAGATGTATTCTGTTTTAATTTATCATAATTACCAGTTAATTCCCGAATTGTACTACCAGTACCGCCATATTCGAATGGCAAGATATCAGCTGGAACATCTTCAAAACAGCTCTGCAACATGTGCCGATAGACGTGAAATCTATTCTTCATCTCAATCGTCATGAAAGATTTCATAATCCTGATGGTAATATCGAAAATGATCGGTGCGTTGAGAATGTTTATTGATTGCCACCTTATAGGAACGCAATTCTGCCACGCGTGTATTATATCCAGTATGTAAGGTCGAAATTGAGTAACATGACGTATTGTTAAATTGTCCACATCAATGAACAATACGTAACCATACACAGATGCTGTGGGGTTATTCTTTATCGCTAGCTCTGCCAACATCAAACCGATCTAAAATAATCATCCATTAAGAAACAATGGAAAATATTTTGTCATAACATCAATCACAAATAAATTGTTTGAGCTTACTTGCTATTCTAATTTTTACCTTATAAAAGTCCGATGGTTTATGTCTTGTTGGATCATATCGAGTAGCATGTGAGATGATAACCAATCTTCCTCGACTATCCACTTTCCGCAGAGGCAAAAATAACCTGAACGAAATATTTCAGAATCATTCGCAGAAGTCTTAGTTTTTTTCAGCGATCTAATTGTGCACAATAATTTTTAATAAAGTATTCTTATTAAAATATGAAACAGGAGTAATATAAGTAAGTTGACGAAAATTGAAAGAGTTTATCACAAAAATTAAAGTTGCGATTTTTTAAAATTATCTGTTATGTATTTAAAATAAACAAAAAATAAAGACAAACTCATTACCGATCCTCATTTCAAACAAACGGAAATTGTTAATAAAAAATATATAATTTATTATAATAAAAATAAACTAACATAATTGAGCTTTATAAGTAAAGTTTGATTAACTGCAATGTTGTTACTACATTGTTAAAAAAAATCAGCGATAATAATTACTACGAAAATTTATGAAATTTTATGATAAATTACTGGATAATCTGAGATGCGACGTTTTTCAGCTAACAGTACTAGAGTAGAGAAGAGATTTTATTTAAATTGCATTTATGTACTCTCCGAAATAGTGGCCTTTACCCAGAATCAAGCAGCTCCTGCAATTCCGGCCGAAATGGATCCTTATTCATGTACCAGTCTGGAAAGTTGAATCGCTGCTTATAATAGTTTCGCATCCTAGTTTTAGTATCCTTGAGGTTAAATGCGCACACTCTCAAAAATCTCAGGATAAGAAAATCATCTGTATACAAATTAAAAAATAAATTTAAATAAAAAGCTGCTATAAAGCAGTGCTGCGGCTATTATATTAGGTATTACAAATTAAATTGAGTTTTTATAAATATAGAGCAGTATGATTTTAAGAAATGTCTAATATCTAAATGTATGAGCACACATCTTTTTGCCTTTTTAATTAATAGAAAAAAAATTTTCTTTTATTAATCAAGTCAATCAAAAACAATTTAAAAAGTGTCGAAATGCAATAACACAATCACATCTTTTTTTATATAAATTTTTTATTGAGTTTTTATTTTTTTCTTCATTTATTTTTACTTATCAAGACTTTTAAATCACTGTTGCTGTTGTTTTCGATAAAGAAGTCAGATATTTTTTTCCATCTTTTTTTTTTATTGCGCGATCAAGAATGAATTCAACAATGTAAGCATCAGACTTAACATCACGCCAATTCAAGGCTAAATTAAACTTATTATTGCTCTGGAAGTATAAATCATAATTGAATTTCAGTGAATGATTTTTCAACGTATAGAGCAGCTGTAATTTTTACCGATTCTTATGTACAATTCGTCTTCGGCCCAGCATCTATAATTTCAGCAACATTCCCTCTGAAGCTGACGCTCTCAGTGATGTGAATTCAACGAGGCATCGGATTTAACACGCCGGTTTAAGACTAATTTAAAGACTAGATTTGACTTAGACTAAATTTTGTGTATTATTGCTCCGGAATAATAAACTGTAATTGAATTTCAACGCACTGAATGATATTTCAACGTGTAGAATCATTGTCATATTTACCGATTCGTACGCGCAATTCGTCCTCGCACCAGCGTCGAATTTCCGCGACGGCATTTTTTCTAGTTTCATCGGTTTCGTTCAAATGTGCCGCCGCATATTTTTTATCCTCACTGGTCAGTTCTTGCAGAACATGCACTACACTGTCGTTATAATTGCGTTCGTTCGCCATCATAATGGCAGTGAACAAGAAGCTTCCACTATGGAAAGATTTGTGATTTCAAGCCGCGGAGATGCGATAACCACTGTGACGCGTGAAATTACGACCAGCGATAATTGCAATAACGTTTATATAACACTGGAATAGCATGCGTTTATTATTCTTTCGAATTATCGAATAACTAATCAGAAATTGCGCTATCTGCAATAAACAACGATGTAAAATAGTTCGATGTGCTCGATGGAAAATAAACTATCCGTTCTTAACAGTCGTGAAGAAACTTCAACTTCTAAATTCTTTATATAATAGCACTCTTAGCCTTTTAAATAAAGTACGTATGTATGAGCTAGAAATTAGAATTATATTGAAAGATTATAGTTATATCATTGATTATAAATTATACATATGAAATAAATAACGTGCTTCAATAGTTAAACGGAAGACATCCGCCCAAATACCAAAGAAGTTCAGATTCAAATTCTGGTTGTGGTGATATTTTTCGCAGTAAGTTATTTTTCAGGATTTAAAATATGCTCATTAACATCAAAATTATTAAATTGCTTGTCAACTTAATTGTAATATTACTTAATCTCGATTCAGTTTAGAGATATATTAAAGACCGACAAAGTATTTGACGCGGAGTTAATTGCTTTAACTGGAAATTGTAAGTTCACACATAGATATTCTGCTTGGATATTTTGCATTCCCTGATTCTCATCTTACAATTAGTTTGAACATTTCGCAGTCGATTCAAGCGAATATTTGGAATAAATCAATTAATATTTATTTATAAAAAGATAAAATATGTTACGTAAAACATTTTTTTAATTACAAACAATTAAACTTTTCTCTCTTCTAATTTACATGATTTGAGAATATAAAAAATTTGTATTAAGAAACTCTCGTACATTCTCTTCTGCATTATGTTTCTAATAACTTTTCCGTATCAAAAGAGCAAAGATTGATTTATTTTCGAGACTCATAAAAGTTAAGAGAAAGTGCGGCTCACATTCGATAAAGTAAAACAAAATATATTAATAAAGTATGTACAACATAAAATAATCGTTTCCTAGAGCTGGCATTACTCATTTTTTAGAAAATCTTTGAATGAATTCTTTCATAAATTCGCACTTAAGATGCATTCAGGAAGCACGCTGTCAGCGCTATCGCATCATTCTATCCTTGTTTTCCGTTTAATAAATGATAAAGAATAATGCGATAACACTGACAGCACGCTCCTGAAACGTGCCTCTAGTGAAAAAAATGACACACGGTATCTTATAATGCAAAACCATAATAAAAGATAAATCTTTGCAGCATATAATGTTTTATCTGTATTGATAGTTGATGTTATGTAGACATGACTTTGCTATATAGTGACAATAATAAAACTTGTGTCTGCAAATTATAAGAATGCAGTTTGACTCACGACCCGTATATAATTAATAATAAACGAGATTGACAGAATAATCTTCTAAATCTATATGAATCTTATTATTATTTTCACGACATTAGCATCGATAATTCATCATATATCATTCATCATATATCATTTGTAGTGGATAATAAAAACGGATTTAAAAAATCTTTAGTGGCAAATTTATCTTTATTCTCTATAAGGAAATGTGCTAATTAAGAAATAGGTTAATTACTATATTTTTATAATATGTATTTTTGACGTTTTAAATTAAATACGAAATACAATTTGTGTACAGGTTTAGTTACGTATATTTTTATTTACATATCATACACATAATAGCATATTGATTATATAAAATAGACAATAAAATATGTGTACAAAATATATAATACAGAAGAAACAAACTAGATTTTTAATATAAAGTGGAAAAAGATATATTTTTTTATTGTCTATGTAACTTACAATAATACAAAAACTATTATCTTTCCTAAAAATATTATATTTTATCCAGTAAGAAATGAACTTCAGTTTGATGTCGAATTGACGTCGAAATCACTGTATCGATTCGATATCGAATTGGCGATCATGTCTTACTGGGTATCCGTTCTATTATATTATATTATGCTTTCGATAGAACCAAATGCAGTAAAAGAGAAAGGAAGATGATTTATTCCTCCAAAATTCATAAAACAAACAAAATTCGACTAATATTACGGTAATATGTTATAATAAATACATCCAACCATGTCTTACAAACAAACATTTGTTACTGATTCTAAATTCACTGCTTTAAAATGTTACAGGTATGTACTATATTCGATTTTGTCATGCTCATCATTCATAATCCAGTCGTGATTCTCTTCGACTAATTTCTTCCAATAATCTGCAGAAGTAAATGTTTAAGTTAAATATAGTAAATTAAATAATTATTCGAGTTTAAACAACTTTATATACATTTTTTAATTTTGTGAATTCTTAGCATTTACTAATTATTTAAACGATTATACTGTTAGAAATTTTTTTTAACCGGTACTTGCTCTTATTACCAGTTAATTCCTGAATTGTACCATCAGCACCGCCATATTCGATTGGCAAGATATCTGCTGGAACATCCTTAAAACAGCTCAGTGACATGTGTGAGTAAACGTGAAATCTGTTCTTCATCTTCTCTGTCATAAAAGATTTCATAAGCCTGACAATATGGTCGACAAATGTCGGCGTGTTGATAAAGTTTATCGATTGTACCCTTATAGGATAGCAACTCTGCCACGCGTGTACTACATTCATAAATATATGAGGTTGGCATAGAGCTATGTGCCGTACTGTTGGATTGACCACGTCAACGTATATTGCGCAACCATACACAGATGCAGTAGTGTTATTCTTCATTGTTAGTTCTGCTAACATTACACCGATCTGATGAAATAATCGTCCGTTGAGAAACAATAATAAATATTTTGCCAGGACGTCAGTCACAAACACATCGTTTGAGCGTTATTTCCTATTCTAATTTTTACCTTAATAAAATCCGATAGTTCATGTGTTGTCGGATCAAATCGAGTACAGCGTACAATGAAAACCAATCTTCCTTGACTATCCGGTTTCTGCAGAGGTAAGATCAACCTAAACGAAATATTTCAGAATCATTCACAATCAACCTTAGTTTTACAGCAATGTATCTAATTTTGTTGAAAAATTTTTAATAAAGTATTTTTACTAAAATATAAAATTGGAATCATATAAAAGAATTGATAAAAAATTTAGAATCTAAAAACAATTTGACAAAAAAATTAAAGTTGCAATTCATAAAGTTTTCTTTTATTTGTATCCAATCCGTATAAATAAAAATAAAAAACACACTATTGATCCTCACTGATCAAATTGGAAATACTAATAAAATTTATATTTATTATAATAACTTAATATACATAAAAGAATCATTTTTTGCTATTAACTGCAATGTTGCAATCTCTTCTTATAAAAGAAAAATTGGCATTAATAATTATTACACTGCAAAAATTTATAAAATACTTTACGATAAATCATTTTAAATTAGATAATCTAAGTTATTTCTCGGTATTAAAGTAGAAGAGAAATTTTAATTAAATTATACATTTATTTTGAGACAGTAGCTATTACCCCATATCAATCAATTCCTGTAGTTTTGGTTGAAACAGATCCTTAATAATATACCATTCCGGTAAGTTGGATCGCTGCTTATAATAATTTTGCATCCTAATCTTAGTTTTCTCGAGATTAAATTTGCAGACTCTCAAGAATCGCAGGATAAGGAAATCATCTAGATATAAATTCAAAATTATCTTCGAATAAAAAGTTACAAAGCAGTACTAAATCTATTATTAGGTATTACAAAATAAATTATGTTTTTCTAAATGTACATATACAACAATAAAATTTTAAAAAATATCTAATGTATAAATGAATAAGCACACCTTTTGCTTTTTGGATTAGAGTAAGAAAAAACCAAATCAATCGAAAATTATTCAGAACATAGCGAAATGCAATAGGACGATCACGCACTTTTTTATATATTTTTTTAAATTGAGTTTTTATTTTTTTTGTAATTTATTTTTACTTATTGAGACTTATAGACTGTTATTTTTTGTTTTCAGTAAAGTAGTCAAATATTTTGTTACAATATTTTTCGTCTTTTCTTTTATTACACGATCATGGTAAGCATTAGACTTAACGTCACGCCGATTAAGCGTATTTTTGCTCCGGAAGTAATAAATCATTGAATTATATTGACTGATATTTCGACGCTATTCACTGTCATTTTTACCTATTTGTATACGCAATTGGTCCTCAATCCAGCGTCTAATTTCCGCGATGGCTTTCTCTCTAATTTCATCAGTCTCGTTCAAATATGCCGCCGCATATTTCTTATCCTCGCTGGTCATCTCTTGCAAAACGTGATGCACTATGCTGTCACTATAGCGTTTGCTCCCCATCGTGATGACAATGAGTAAGAAGCTTTGCCGACTGTGAATGGATTCGTGTCGCGGAAATATGATATATACTCTCACGATGAGTATCATATATAATACTACAGAGATAACGAATAAAAATGTGCACTCTTCTCGTGATTTAATTTTAGAATCTTCGATGCTCTTTGGAATCATTGAATGATTAATCAGAAATTGCGCGATCTGCAGCTGACAACAATATAATATAGTTTGATGACCTTGATAAAACTTACTATTCGAAAACTTTAACATTTAAATTATTGTAAGGGAGCACACTTAGCCTTTTAAATGAACTGCATATGAGTTAAAATTATATTGAAAGATTATAGTTACAGCTCACAAAATAAAAAGTAAAGACGTTTAACATTTATATTTAAAAAGATAAAATGTTTTTACGTAAAAATTTTTTTTAATTACAACCGAATAGATTAAATTTCTCTCTCTTCTTTTATTTTCATAATTTGCAGGTAATTACTTAATAATAAAATTGATAAATATCTCGCGCCTATTTAAACGATCGCGTTTCGGGGCACGCGATCATCTATGTTAATTATAAATGAGACTGTTGAATTTCTCGCGCCCATTTAAACGACCAAATTCCGAATATCGTGAACGTTGTAATTAATTAATCATAAAATTGAGAAATATCTCGCGTCTATTTAAACAATCGCGTTTCGGGGCTCGCGATCATCTTTGTTAATTATAAATAAGACTGTTGAATTTCTCGCGCCCGTTTAAACGATTACGTTCTGACTTGCGAACGTCTTTGATAATTAATAATCAGATTGTTAAATTTTTTGCGCCCATTCAAACTATCACTTTCCGGATATCGCAAACGTTATAATTAATTAATAATAAGAGTATTAAATATCTCGCGCCTATTTAAACTATCACGTTTCGGAGCTTGCCATCGTCTTTGTTAATTAAATATATAGGACAATAAAATTTCCGTGCTTATTTAAACGCCCAGATATCGTGAATGTTGTAATTAATTAATCATAAAATTGTTAAATATTCGCGCTTATTTAAACGTTAGCGTTTCGGAGCTCTTGATCGTTTTTATTAATTAAGTAGAAGACTGTAAAATTTCTGCGCCTATTTGAACGAACTTTCCGGAGCACGCGAACGTTGTTGTTAATTAATAATAATGCACTGTTATATTTATAGCGTCAAACTAAACTTTATTTAAGTCGCCACTGCTCCTACTTAATAAATAGTTATTTTTAACTAAGACATTATAGTTATTTTTAAATATAACAATGAAATTTAACT